TTTTCACTGCTGATATTGAACTTCTCCACTGAGTCTTTCCACAAATGTAATTTCTTTGATTCCTATGTATGCCATCAGGTGAAATCCATGTGTATAGCTTGTGTTTGTGTTTCTTATAAAAGGTATTTTCCCTGAATAAATCATTAAATGTGCAGAACTCTATCATTCAACTCCAGCCTCATTTCTCTCACAGAGCCCATATTTTCCAGCTACTGATCCTTTTTCCCTGTTGCCAACTTTTGCATTCCAGTCACCCATTATTATCATTGCATCTTGATTACATGTCTGATCAACTTCTGACTGCAAATTTGGTAGAAATCTTCTATTTCCTCCTCTTTGGCTCTAGTTGTTGGTGCATATGTTTGAATTATAGTGGTATTCACTGGACTTCCTTGTATGTGTATGGATATTATCCTGCACTCACCACATTGTTTTTCAGGATGGATCTAGAAATGACGTTTTTAATTATGAAACCAACCCCATTTTTCCTCAATTTTTCATCCCCGGCATACTAAATCATTTAATTGTCTGATTCAAAATGTCCCATACCAAGCCGTCTCATTTCACCCAATACCTAGTATGTCACTATTTATGCATTCCATTTCTTTCTTAACAATGTCCAATTTTCCTACTTCATGCTTCTCATATTACACGTTCCAATCACCAGTGTCTGCTTACAGCTGGTCCTTCTCTATATTTCCTTTTCTAAGATCTCAGTCTCAATTGCCATGTCTGCTAGTCCAAGAGATAGTCTAAGTGTGCTCTATTGTACATAGGGTTTTTGAAGGCTTGTCATTTCAGAAGTGGATAGCCAATCCTTCTTCCTAGTCTGTCTCAATCTTTAAATATATATAATAGTATCTGACAGACAAGCATTCCACAGAAAAGAGCTGATGAAAGGCATTTGCCCAGTTATAACAATGACCAATAGATTCAATGTTGCTGCCCACCCATGTTTCCTTACTCCACCACCATCCCTTCCTACTTATGCCTACAGCATTCAATACCCGTCTCCCATTGACCATCCCCTGATGTAATGGCCTAAGTCTCAAGCCATCAGGATTTCTGTGATTCTGAAAATATCATGCTGCTCTGAGTCTCTTATGATGCAGCCACTATGACTTCAATTTTAAGTTGTTAAGTACAACTGTAATGTACAACTTACACTCCAGGATTGCCTTCTCATGGGTTAATACCACTTGTCTTCCATTTGAAGCCAGGTGCAGATGCAAATTTTCTTGGCCCGAGGGCCACAGGCCTGATGGCTCGAAACTCTTTTTCTGTCAATGCTTTTGGATCAACGCTGGCTAATGCGGCCTGGGGTTACCTGGGCTAGAATTTGGAGATCAGAAAAGCTCTGCCTCTCTCTCCTCCCTGATTCCCAAAAACTCTTTTACTGGCAATGCTTTGGGGTGCACGCTGGCTAATGCATCCTCAATTCCAGCATTGAGACAATCCCGAGTGGCGGTGCAGTACTCCCAAGGCCATCATGTCTGTGCATCTTGCTGCATCAAGGGTTCCCGGGTGTCGCGGTGGCACCGAGTGCTCCTGTGCACTGTTTTTGTTTCCTAACTCCAGTTCATAGCACATTTAATTATAAAACTTTGCTTTCCCCCCTCAAGTTGCCTTTTGAAATCTTCTCTTCAATTCACCTCAACATTCCCCCCCCCCCATTGGTTTGGCTTCTTTTCATTTCAATAATATTTCTAGAGTCTCTTCTGGCATCTATTTGGTCTTTTCTTCCTTTCTTGTCTTAGTAATGATCTTTTGGTTTCTTCATGGATAATGCATTTGATGTCATTTACAACTGGTCTGGTCTTTAGTCACTAGTGTTCAATGCGTCAAATGTATTTATTATTTATTTATTTATTTTTGTGAACAAGTATGTCACCTCCCCCTTTATATTGGTTTGCTTACAAAGTTTTATACATTGTGTTTCGCACTATTTTTCATTCATTTTGTATTTCACACAATCATTCCCATGTATGATGTTTTATAAAATCAATCATCATTGGACTTTGGCCATCACTACCCTCTGTCAGATCCTTTCCATTACCTTCACTGCCTCACTCCCCCACCCACCTGTGGAATCTTGTGGTTTCAAACCTACCCATCCTCACCACTCTGCTTCCATTCAATGTTCATAGCAGTGTTATCCACCATCACAAGGATATGGAAACAGCCTAAATATCCAAATACAAAGGATTAGATTGGGAAATTGTGGTATAGTCATATGATGGAATAATATGTAGCAATCAGGAGTAATGATTTTTTAAAAAATACTACATAACTTTGGAGAGACTGGAGAGCTTTATGCTGAGTGAATTAACTCAGTCTCATAAGGACAAATACTGCACAAGACCATTATTGTAAAACTAGAAGGATACCTAGTAAAACTATTTGTAACACGGTATTTAAATTCAGTTGGGACTTCAACCTCTCTCCGTACCCTGTTTTTTCTCATGCTGATTTTACACCCAAGATTCCATTTCCTACTCAAGATCATATTCTGGTTTTCATGGACTTGCTTCATCTTCTTCAACTTCAATTTAAACTGAGTAGATGATCATCTGTTCAACAGACAGTCCCTAATCTGGTTTAGGCTGCTAATACTAAATTTCTCCAACATTTCTTTCCACAGATTTAGCCTATCTGATTCCTATGTATTTCATCAGGTAAAGTCTGTATAAGTAGTCATCAATTTTTTTAAGTATTTACAATGAAAAAAAAATCATTCATTGCACAAAATTCTATCATTTGGTCTCCAAACTCATTTCTGTGACCTTACTTTCCAACTATTAGACATGCTTATCTGTTTTTAACTTTTGCATTATTGTCTGTCAGTGTGCTGTACTGTGGTGATATTTGCATGTTTCTGTGATGCTGGAAACTTTCCACTAGTTTTTCAAATACCAACATGTTCTCCCATGGTGGACAAGTTTCAGCAGAACTTGCAGACTAACACAAACTAAAGATTAGGACTGTCTATCCACTTCAATAATAATAGGCCATTGAAAACTCTGTGGAAAACAGAAGAACATTATTGAGTAGAGTGCTAACAGATGAGACTTTCAGGTCAGAAGGAACTGAAAATGTTTTTAGTAAGAGCTGACCCCCGCGCCCCAAAGTAGCATCTATTGTAATGATGTAGATGGAATAAAGCTTTCACCAAATGAAGAAACTTGCTTTGCTGATGTGACAAGTTTCAAAATGAGCATAAATAGCTGTAAACATCCAATAATAATTAGAACATAGAATGTACACAGTACAGTGCTAGTAAATTTTGAAGTCATAAAAAATGAGAAGGAATGCACAGAGATTGACATCCTAGGCATTACTGAGCTGAGTTGGATTAGTATTGGCTGTTTTGACTTTAAAAAAAAATCACATGATATAGTATGCCAAAAATTAAAAATTTTAAAAGAGGAGAGTGATATTCAGCTTTAAAAAGAACATTTCAAGCTCTATCCTGAAGTACGATATTAAGTGATAGAATATTAGCTATACACATATTAGAAGTTCTGTTATTCAACCATTATTCAAATATACACCAACTACAAAACTCAAAGGTGAAGAAGTTGAGGTTTCTACCAACTTGTGCAATCTAAAATGAATTAAACATGCAATCAATATGCATAATTATTAATTAATAATGATAAGAAGAATTGTGTGGGTAATAGAAAATGCATAAGGTGGGGAGATAATAAAAATTGAAGAGGAAGGATTCAGTGATAACTAAATTTGTAATCTGAAAAACAGGGAGGGGAAAAACTGACACAGAAAAAGGTTTTGTGTAAAAAGAGATAAAGATGATTGGGTGAAAGCTGAATTTGAATTGCTAGGAATAGGAAATGGAATCTGGAGTGTAAAATCATCACAAGAAAATATAGGGTGGGACAAAGGGTTGAGTTTGAGGTTCCACAACTCTAGTCATGCACAGACTGACCTGATCATTTACTGGTCATTCATTTTCTAATCACAATATGTAAAGTTCATCAGAGTAAGTCAGAATAAGTGAACTCGCCAGTAAAATCCTTACAAAAAATGACTGATTAAACTTTATGTTTTCATCTTAACAGGACAAAACATGTTTCCAAGCAACTAGAAGTATTCACACATTAAACCAGGAGACAATCAGTATTGTGTTTGGTCTCCCTATCTCTCCCTCCTCTCAGCCCTGAAAAGAATTCTGGAGTTACTTGTTATGTACAAGACAAAGAAACACAGTACTTGGTGCTGCCCTTCTAAGAATTCCTTTGACTGATCACACTATGATCATCACTACATCACTATGATCATCACACTAATGAGCATCACTACTTCAAAATTCCCTGAGTATCCACCGTCTGACCACATCAGGAGTTCAGATGTGGGAACAGAAATGGAGAGGCAAATGCTGAGGACAACTTACCCTGGGGTCTCTCTCCAGTTGTTGCTTGTGGTGGAGGCTGCGTCTCCTCTTAGCCTTGGCAAGGCCATTGTGGTAAAAGTGATACAGGCCATCAGTGAAGGGGAGCTGTGGAAAGCATAAAACAGAAAGAAAGCACGCTTAGTTGTTGGAGATAGCGCTGGAACAGGGATACCAAAGCTGAGGATCCAAGGGAAGCTCTATGGGGTGTTGAGTGCATGTGAGAAACTTACTCTAGTTGGTGTCAAATCAGAACTGACCCAAACCTGTCCCTTGTGTTGGGTTTCTGAGGCTATAAATCATACAAGAGGAAATGATCATATTTCTATTTGAATAACTGGTGGGCTTGTTTTTGTGTTAACAATTTGATCTTTGCGACTTCATATGCACCAGAACTTCCTGTATTTGAGAAAGATACTGGCAATGTCTGTCTATATTTTCCTTCTATCTATCTATCTATCTATCTATCTATCTATCTATCTATCTATCATCTATCTATCTATCTATCTATCTATCTATCTATCATCTATCTAGCATCATCATCTATCATCTCCCTGTGTTCCTGACCTTCTCCTTGCATTTGCTTTCACTGTGCCTATTTTCCTCCATTCCCCTCAAAATACTTTTTACTACTTTCCCCACTTTTCTGGTTTTTACTCCTTCAGTCTCCTCTCCTGCTTCTTAGAGTTTTGTAAACAAATTTAAATTCTCTTTTCTTTCTAGGACAAGTGTTTAAACTGGTTGCTTCCAAACTAAATTGCAACTTAGTCCCATCTTTACAGTTGAATTTCATCCTGTATATTGGATGTCCTCTGTAACCCCTTGGTCATGAAGGGCTTAGCACAACACCCTAAGATTATATATATATACCAAATAAAGCTCAGATCTAGATGACTTCATTGATGACTTCTTCCAAAAATAACCATTATTCAAAAAATTCTTCCATAGGTATTGGAGAGATGAGATGGACTGGCATGGGGCATTTTGAGTCTGATGACCATATGATATATTACTCTGGAGATGAAAAGACAAGGAAAAACGGGGTTGCCT